GCCTAATTCTGCTGACCGCAAATTTTCAGTCTCATTTAATTATAAACATAATTTAATTAATTATTTATATTGCAAATGGATGAATTACAATCGTGAGTGTGTGGGTCGGGAGAGTGAGCGGGTTTTAGAGAGAGATTTACTTATTTTACATGTAAATTATTCTTATATTAATATTTAGCTATTTATTCGAGAGTAGTAGAGAGAGTGAGCTAGTTTAGAGATAGAATCTGTACATATCTTACATGTAAATTATTCGAATATCAATATTTTAGCTATTTACTATTTTATTTAAACTATTTTGTTGTGTCCTTACTTAGTGGTTTCATTACTGCTATTTTTTATAATTGACACATGAATAAAGTTATTATTATTATTATTATTATTATTAGTTTAGTCCAAATGCGAAAGGCCGATACATGAAATAATAACATTGCTCTAACGAAGGGCTAACGCTCGAAACGTCAGCCTTATAATTCTTTACGGTGGCCAATTCACGTTTTCAACTCAGTTGATAACGCTAAATTACCCGGTTATACTCTTCCACAGACGCAGCATCACAGTTTCTTTGGAAACTTACCCTCTTTATTCCCATGAAATAAGATATGATTTGTTGCCAATTATCAACATTTCTCGTTGATGTTTTAGGTTCTTGATGCCATGAATAAGATGCTACGTAAGAAGAAACGGGCACACAGTCTCTAGCAATTCAAACAGGAGCCCAAAAAAGCGACGAGAACGGCTAGCAAGAAAACATCAGTTGGTGTAGTCTCACCTTAAAGGAAGTTTTGTTGTTTAAAACAACGATTTGATTAACGAGAACAACTTGCCCAATACCAAAATTAACAATGCCCTTGTGTTATTATCTTGCACCACGTGCTGAATAATCACAACCTTTTAATATATATTTTTTAAAATATATGTATGGATTATCACGGCTGATGAAAGCGTACGATTTTTTTTTCCACGAGTTGTAAAGATTAAGGCGAATGAGCGAGAAACGAGCGAGTGAGTTTCTCTCTTACAATAAGTGACTGAAAACTAACCATGGAGTAATTTTTCCATTCAACACCTACTGAGATTTATAACAAATATGATCATAAATAACCTCTAGCGAAATCAACACCGTGACCCTAACGTAGACGCTGTGGCCTCGAGCAACAGAATCAACAATAAAGTTTAATTCCAAAACTATGATAAACAGCAACTCCTTAAAATGATGCAAAAATGCACGAACTGGAAAATTTCTATTTTGAAAGCCGCTAGAAGTTCAGTTGAGGACCACAGACAATTGTTAGCTTGATTTTGAAATGGCGGTTCTGTGTTTGCGTATTCCAAATCCTGAATACGAATCGAAAAGCTTTCGAAAAAAGCTCTACGAATGACGCGAAAAGGAAATGGACAGTGCTGCTCATCTGAATAGGAAAAAAAAACCATATAGCCGATGATGTCGTATCGTCCTAAGATGATTTCTCCGCTTGTTGAGCTCGCGTTCGCGCCCTTGGAGTACACCAGTTTAATATTTGCCTGGCTATTTGCCCAACAGGTTATTCTACCTCATCCCAGGTATACGTAAGATCGTTTTCTTTTGTTTTCCCTTCCAACATATCGCAGCACGATCTTCCTAGGTTGTAGGATGGTTGCCTTCCTGCTATTTCTACCTGTGAAAAATCTATCTTTCGTTTCCTACAGGGAAACCCATCAACTCCTAGTTAACGCTCTGACACCGAATCGAAGAGTTCGGGCAACAAATTTCGCCGCAGTCACGAGCAGTTGTCCTGAGAAGCAAGACGCTTTTACTCGCACTGTGTCACTGTGCCAGTCTCCTCCCAATTGTTTAACCTACAATGGAAAAGCAAATTTATCTGCTTATCTGGGAGTGGGTAAAAGGAAAGGAGGGGGAGGGGCGAAGGAAAGGGTATCAATATTGCAGCAAAACCCTTCCATCAGCCTCAGCGTTGTTAAAGACACTCAAGGAGGTGCTTAAATAGACTTAAGCTCTGCCTTTCATCAGGAAGTCGATAGTTGTCAAACAAGCTCAGTTTCTGGTCGGTAAAGAACACGATAATTGGCTAAAAACGTGATAAAATGCAAAATTTGCGAGATGACCCGCCCCTTTCTAAAATCCAAGTCCGATGGAAAAAAATCTGTCACTTTCTCCACTAAAAAAAAAGCACTTGCTTAAAATGTTTTTATTTTGATTCCAACTTTAAAAGAAATCCCAGAAAGACTCGTAGCAAAGACACATGAAATTTCGCCGTACAATAAAAAGTTTGCGAGAGCCAAAATGTTTCAGCGGACTTCATCAACAGCTTCAGAGAGGGTTCGTATCGTACTTTGCTTCCTCTCAAGTGCAGACTGAGCATAAAAGCAGCAGTAATCTTTTTACACCTATGAGTTCCCAACTTAATGTATTGATATTTCAGCCCAAATAGTGCCTTAACTTTTTGGTTTTCTCCTCAGACTAAAATATTATAGGAATTGCGTTGCTCGTTCTGAGCCG